TGTATGGCATGCATGGTTGTGAATTCTTCTCTGTACTCCAAATACTGCTTTCTTTAACCCAGATATTTTTGTTAGTCTAGGTCACTTCATTTATTTTTCTTTGTGGTGCTTACCTGTCTTTTATACAGTTTTCCACCCCTCCCGCCCCCACCAAAAAAACTGTCTCAAAATGAGAGTATTTTCTTTTTATGGTGAGTCTAGAAAATTCCCACTTCATTCTGATAACAGTTGTGTGGCTAATCCTTGGGTAAGGTTAAAAATTATTCCGTGTTTTAAATATCAGAACCAGACCTTCCTTACTACATATCTTAGTCCATTTGTGTCTCTATGATAACAACCAGCTTTCAAAGGAACTAATGAGTGAAAACTCACTCATTACCACGAGGATGGCACCAAGCCATTCACGTAGGATCTGCCCTTGTGACCAAAACACCTCCCACTAGGCCCTACTTCAAAAACATTGGCGATCACATTTTAACATGAGGTTTAGGGAAACAAATGCCCAAACTATAGCACTGTACGTAAACTAACAGGAAATGCTACTTTTGATCCTCAAAGAATTGATATAGCCCAAATTATAATTTTAGAAGCCTTTCCCAGTATAGCAAGATGTTAACTATAGAATATGTCTGGGAGTATTCACTGTGTAATATAACTTTTCTGTGTGCTCGAACATTTTCACAAAATAATAGGATTTTTTTTTAAAAGAAGAGGAAGAAGATATACTTTGCTTTGGAGAAAGCTACTTATACTCCTATATACTCTTACATATACTTATAAATACTATATACTTATACTTAGGACTTATACTCCTAATGGATTTGCTGTAATTAAGTGCCCAATATTGAAAGGCTGCAAGTATTTTGTAACCACTCATTGGCATAAGTAAATAAGCATGGTAACTTATATGGCGTTTAAATATATTATAGTGCTCTTGCTTTGGGTAATTGTAACAGGACCCATGCTGATAGATTGGAAATAGAAGTAAATGTGTCTATTGATAATGGTGTGAATTTTCATGGACATTCAGTTTCCTTAAATAATGTATTGAAGCAGCAAGAAATAATTTGTTTGAATGCAAATTACTATTAATTACTGTTTCTCTCATCTGAGCAGGATTGGATTTTGTTCATTTTTAGAAGAAGGAGGCAGGAGGAAACCTTCCAAATTGAGGCAAAGCCAAGAAGAATTCATGGGGGAAAATGGAGTGTATGAGAAAAGGAGAAAACTCCTCTGAGTGATGAATGGTTCATTTTGGGGAAAGATTCTGCCATGTCTTAGAAAAGAGTACATAAATTTGGACTCTATCCCAAAGCAAGTTAATGCTGCAATAAGCTAAAACCTTCAATTTTCTTGGTTCCATTGAGTCAGATAGCTTTGCTCAGATGCTCTAAACTTCAGAGGGAACTTGCAGGAGACGGTCTTCTTTAGTCAAAGTCCATTTTAAGTTAATGCTTTGTAAAAAACTGAGGCCAGGCACCGTGGCTCACGCCTGTAACCCCAGCACTTGGGGAGTCTGAGGTGGGTGGATCATGAGGTCAGGAGTTTGAGACCAGCCTGGCCAACATGGTGAAACCCTGTTTCTACTAAAAACATACACACAAAATAGCAGGGCATGGTGGCGGGCACCTGTTATCTTAGCTACTCAGGAGGTTGAGGCAGGAGAATCGCTTGAAACCAGGAAGGTGGAGGTTGCAGTAAGCCGAGATCATGCCACTGCACTCTAGCCTGGGCAACAAGAGTGAGACTTGTCTAAAAAACAAAAAACTGAGCAGGAGCAATTTTAATTTTTTTAGTATGCTGTTATGGATGTAGCTTGGCATAACTTCTTAGCCCTGCTGCATATTTTAAATTTAATTATATATGCATGTATATGCATATACATTTGAGAGATTTGTCATAGCAATAACTGAAAAGGGTGTTTTTAAAAATAAGTAAAAGTGACAATGCTTAGTAACTTAAGGTGACTGCAAATTTGAGAAGCAAAATTAGATTTGTTCTTCCTCTTATGTTGGTTATTGTACTTACATATCCTCTAGAAGCACCACCTGGACAATCCCTTAGGAGTCTTTGGTTCTCTCTTGTCTGACATATTTATTAGTAACTGGGTGAGAGTAAACATCTTAGGAGCTAGGTAGCTGTAAATATTCACGAGGTCATGGATAAGACAAGGCTAATTTGGTACCATTTAGCAGTGCTGAAGGCCTGCTTTGGATTCACGTGTTCTTGTGTTCTCTTTGCTCCCTGAGCCCTCGCCTGTGCCTGCAGTGGGCTGCTCCACCTCTGTTGGCTCTAAAGTCCCAGAACCTTTAAGAACAACAGTTGTCCTCCTGGTATAAAGGAAAGAACAAGGCTTTGGGCCATGTTTCCAACCATCTTAGCATTCTTGGACAAAGTCAATTTCACTGAGCCTTGCTTTCCTTCAGTCTTGTGTGTGCCCATCAAGCTAATCAGAGTTTCTCAATGACACTGTTAACATTTTGGTTCATATCATTCTTTGGGTGTTGGGAGGTGCTGCCCTGCACATCATAAGATTTTTAACAACTTCCCTAGCCTCTTACGCCTAGATGCTAGTACTAGACACCCCCACTCCTGTGATGAGAACCACAAATATCTTTAGACATTGTTAAGTGTCCCCTACAGGCCAAAGAACTACTGTGTTAACTTACAAATACTTAGTAAAACTATCTTTTTTTAAGAGGAGACTCTCTTTATTTACTAGGAAATACTTGTGAGGATCAAGTGAGAAAATGCATAAAATGCTTTGAAAAAGACTGTACAGTTGCTCAGCCTTCAATTGATATTTTTTGTTTAAAAATGAACATTAAGGCCCAGGAAGGTCTGGAGATGTCCATCCTCCAGAACCACCTCCCAATCCTCTTCATTAAGACTCTTTCCCTTTTAGGGATCTTTGATGTGGGGTTCTTATACCCCTAAGGGATCGGTATATAGAGCATATTTCTGTATGATAGGTTTCCTCTGTAATCATGCATTTTATTTTACGCATTTTAAAACATGATTCTAAGAAGAGGTTCATGGGTTTACCACCCTGCCAAAGAGGTCCAAAGGATAAGAACGAATTAAGAACTAATCAGACTTCAACTTGCCCCTCAGTGAATGATCATGGAGTGTTGACAGTAGAGCAGTTTGGGCAGAAACTGAGGTAAAGATGTCCCTCTCTCTCAGGTCAGTGTACCCAACTCCTGATTCCTTGACAGTCCAGCATAAGGCTTAGTCATCCTTGCTGAACCATAGGATCCTCACCTGCCCTTCTGTGGCTCTCTGTCTCTGCTGGTGCCAGCCAAATACTCTTACTCACCAGACCTGGATCCGGGGTCAGGCGCTTTAGGCCTTTCAAGGCTGTCTAGGCAAACCTGGAATCTGTGAGGGTGGCTCTGGAGGGCTTCTCTGTGGAGATGGTGGAGGTGCCAACAGAATGTGCCTTTGAGCGCCTGTGTGGCTAAGGACTATAGTAAGAGACTTTGGCCTTCTGTATAAGAGGTAGAAACCTAAAGATAGTAGCTAGCTATTATATGTACCTCCAGGAGTCTAGATACTGGCATTCAGTTGTTTTTCACTGTTTTTAAAATGCCTGTGTGAGGTAGGCATTCATACCCAGTTTTGCCGGCAAGCAAACAAACTCAAGTCACACAGCTTGGGGGTAGCGAAATAGTGTTTCATACCCCAGAGTCCAGAGCCCATGTTCTGTACACTATTGTATGCACCCACTAGTGTTCAGATTCTGAACTTTAAAGATAGGACAGAGAGTGTATTGGGGGCTGTTCTAAAGAATCTCCAATTTAAAGTGCTCATATTACAGACTCTCCCTGCAGGAACACTATAGAGCTTGCTGGGCCCTGGAAGGGCTTCCCTGGCTACTAAGAGTCTCTGTATTTCTTTGGGCTCCCACTTCCCAGTTTGGTTAGAATGACCCACATAGGGCAGCCTCCCATAGACCCACACCATCAGCCCCAGAACCAGCAGCCTTTATCCTCAGCACATTGCACACTCCAACTGTGTGTTATAGGCTAATGGAGAATCCAGTCAGCTGGGAGATGAAGTGTCTAGAGAAAGACTGTGGCTTCAATCCCTAATCTCTGGTGATAACCCAAGACAAACCTTACTTCACTTTTTAAAAGGAAATCTGTAATCCCAGCACTTTGGGAGGCCAAGGTGGGCAGATCACGAGGTCAAGAGATCGAGACCATACTGGCAACATGTTGAAACCCCGTCTATACTAAAAAATACAAAAATTAGCTGGGCGTGGTGGCGCACACCTGTAGTCCCAGCTACTAGGGAGGCTGAGGCAGGAGAATTGCTTGAACCCGGGAGGCGGAGGTTGCAGTGGGCTGAGATTGCGCCACTGCACTCCAGCCTGGCGCCTGGAGGCAGAGCAAGACTGTCCCCCAAAAAATAGGGAAATCTGTATAGTACTTGTTATCTGAAGAGTTGCCCTTTAAGGCACCTACATATATGCCTTGCTTGTAATATGCTAGGCTTCAGCAGCCCATCACTGTGTTGGCTTAGTAAGAACTGGTGTTGAGACATAAATGGACTGTTGGAACTAAAAGAAACTCCTGTTGAAACAGGACTCGGACAGCTTTGCCAGCTCTTTCCAAGCCCTCAGCGTTGCTGATGAAGTGTGAAATGAACACTGATGCTTTGTGGGAGATTGCCCTGTTACAGCATATTTCCTGTTGGCATTTATGGAAAGGGAACTGCTTATATGCCCCAACAGCATTTACCCTCTAATCTTCATTGCACTCCCCCTTCCAAGCAGAGTTTAACCATAAAGTAGTTCCGAAAGTGGGGAATGCACAAAATAAGGGGCAGCATAATTTTAGAGCAAGTGAATGTTTAAGCATTCCACATACAATGCATGTCCTTTTTTGTTCATCCTTCCCCTACTCTTGCTTTTGTTTTGGGAAATGTATATTTTAAGGCAGATGCTGCATGTGTGAAGTTGTTCTTACTAGGTCAGGAAGCAGAGAAACACACTGTGGAGGGCATGTGAGGAGTGTTTAATGCTATAGGAATAAGCCCCGGCTCCACCTGCTGTGTGTAGGAGCGTGCTCACCCAGCCAAGGGCATGCACTGCCAGTGTAGCAGCCATCCTCATCGCTGTTCAGAAGCACCTTCTGTAGAGGAAGAAAGGCCCATGTTCCTCGTACTCAAAGCGGCGAACCCACAGTGGTTGGAAACCCTGAAGTGAGGCCAGGATGGAGCCACCGGTCCACACGGCACTGTCTCTCTCAGGCAACACGTTTACCTGTGGGCTGTCATTGGGACACATGCTGCTTAGCTCCTTCTGCAGGCGATTAGGGAAGCCACTGAGCATCGTGCTGCCCCCACAGAGCAGGATGTTCCCCATGAGGTCCCGTTTGAGGGCGATGTCACACTTGTTAAGGCAGGACACAGTTTGGGTGTGGAGGCCCAGCTGCATGGACTTGATGAGAGATGGCTTGAAGAACATCTCTGAGCAGAGGAATCTTTCCTGGCCCAGGTGAATCTCCTTTCCATCCGGCAGCACATAGTGCATCATATGCTCACTCAGAGGGACTTTCTTCTCTTCAATGGGATCCAGGGCCACAAAGCAGCATTTCTTCTTGATGTCCTCCACGATGCCTATCTGGTCCTGGGTGAATTCATTCCCTGCACTGTTCAGCAGGCCCAGCAGGTAGGCTGTCAGGTCAGAGCCCGCATAGTCTAGCCTTCCGGTGATGCTGGGCAAAGGATAACCCTCATAGATGGGGACCACATAGGACACACCATGGCCAACCTCCACCACCAGGCCAGAGGTCCTTCCATAGGAGTACATGGACAGGCGGGACTGATAGGCGATGTGCATTGCAGGGGTGTTGAAGGCTTCAAACAGCATTTCCGCGTACTTCTCTCTGTTGGTGTGTGGGCTCAGTGGTGGATCTGAAACCAAGACTGCATGCTCCTCCGGGGCAATCTTCATCTCTTGTCGGAAGAGATATTCCCAGATATCCTGCACTGTATCCCAGTCCACGATGATGCCATGTCGCAGAGGATTAACTAGCTTGAGATGAACATTTGTGTTGTTGAGTTCCTGCCCCACGAATGTCTCCTTACGATTATCCCCAGTCTTAGCGGTCTCCATGTGGGGCTTGCCCACTGTTGTGGAGATCTTGTGGGTGGGTCTTGGCAGGCCGGCAAAGCCACATTTACAGTAGCCTGTGCCCAGGTCCACGACCACTGCTTTGGTCACCTCCTGCTTGGGTCTCTCTGTGGCTGCCTTTGATTCAGTAGGTTCTTGTGGCTCTGAACTACGGCCGACCCACACGGCCCGCTTTGCTGGGCCATCCCTTAAGGAGGCAGTCTGGAGGGCCTGTGTCTGCCCGGGGGCCTGGTTACCCACTGTCTTGGCAGGCCCATCCCCTATGAGTGCTGCCGGTGGAGCCCACATGTTGTCAAGAGCCATACCACTCAGAAAGTTCCTCAATCCCACTGGATTCAAGGCTGAAAGGCCTAAATCAGGATACCTTGAGAATTTTCCCAACAATGACATCACTAATTATGATGTAATCTGATGACCTGGCCTTTCTAGATACTGCAAACCTTTATCCTGTGTTAGGGTACATTTGGGATATTGTTTTTGAAATGGCTCCCCTTTTTCTAAGTTTTCTGACAAGGCTGATTTATTCAGTTAATTAATATTGAGTGCCTGCTATATACAGGCAGCTGGGAATTTGGTGGTGAAAAAAATAGACAAAAATATCTTATTCTAGTTGGTGGGGGTTGGGGGTAACAGGCAGTAACCAAAATGAGCGTTAAGAGCAAAAGCAGGGTGGCGGTGCTAGTGTGGTCTGGGCAGGGCTTCCTGAGAGGGTGGCGTTTGAATGAAGACCTGCAGGAGGTAGGGAGAGATCCACGTGGATGTCAGGGAGCGGCAGGTACAGAGGACTGGAGGCAGATGTGTGACTGAAGAGTTAGAGCAGGGGTCAGCAGGCTACAGTCCAATCCAGTCCTCGGCTTGTTGGATATCCCCTTATTGGAACACAGCCACACTCATTCATTTGCGTATGAATGGCCATGACAGCCACGGCTGCCTTTGCAGTACAACAGTAGAGCTGAGTCATGCCATTGAAGACAGTATTGCCCAAAAAGCTGAATGAAAGTAAATACTGACTGACCCTTAAAAGTTTGCCAACCTCCTGAGTTAGAGGAGGAGCAAGAAGACAGGTGTGGCTGGCATGGAACGCGTAAGGAAAAGTAGAAGAGAGGATTAGTAAGGAGTAGGGAAAGGCGAGCAGCTCATGGTAGGCCTCATAGGCCAATGTGAGGACCATGGACACCATCTGATGTAGATGTTAGTGGGATCCTTTGCTGCTGTGGTGACTATGTCAAGGGCACTAAGGGTGACACTTAAAACACCTTAAGGGGAATGATTTTTGGATATATATTTGTACACCTCCTGTGTCTTCATCAGGGTCATTGGTTAGGCAGTGAAATTAGACCCTACAAAGTCCCACTGACAACATTAAGGCTCATAGCTCACCTAAAGATACCCAACCAGGAGTGGCGAAGCTCTCCTGACTGTGGCTTTCTCCTCAGAATGTGCTGGGACACAGCTTTATGGGACCTAGTGTGCATCTCAGGCTGCTTGGCCACCATCTCTCATGCCATTTCTGAAGCTGGACACATTGATGCGGATGCCTGCCACACTCAGGGCAGAATCCAGCCTTATGTTATGCCACACCTTGAACCTGATCCCAGCCCTTCATAAAAGAGGCAGTCACCACAATTAGGGGCTTTCTCCTTTAGAGAGGCTAAAGGGGTGCTCTCAGTTCCTTGTTGGGTATGAGAGGAGAAAAGGACCAAGTCCAGTATCATGAGGTTTGTGACTGTCTGATGGGGGCAGCAAGATGTCATCCCAAGGACAAAATCTCAGTTTCTTGGTTAGTGGATGAGATAATGGCATGGAATTTTGAAGGGAAAACAGGAAAGTACTTTCGATGCCTGACTGCCTGAAAAATAGTTTAATTGCCTCTGCTGTTCAGGGATTTGCATGGCCAACTCAGATGGTTTGACCTTGTTTCAAAAGTTGTGTCTATAGTAACCAAAGGCATATGTAATTTAGAGTCCTCTATTTGTTTCTCCCCAAACTCCTACTTGAATTTTGAGAAATCTGTAGCTGCTTGGTACCTTTTCATTAACCTAGACTCTAGAAGAGCCTAGATAAGCTTTCTGTTTCTGCTATAACAAATTACCATGGATTTAGTGACTTAAAACAACTTAAAAACAACTCACAGCTATTATCTTACTATTTGGGAGGTCAGAAGTTTATAATTCCTAGTGGGCTACAATTAAGGTTCTTTCAGGGCTATGTTCCTTCTGGAAATATAGGAACAATACTTCCTCTTGCCCTTTCCAGCTCCTAGAGGTCACCTGTGTTTCTTGGCTCACAGTCGCTTCCTCTACCTTGAAAGACCTTCTCAGACTACAGCTAACCACTGCCACATCTATCTCTCTGCCCTTGACCCTCCTGTGTCCCCCATATAAGGATTACATTGGCCCCACTCACACGATACAGGATAATCTCCCCATCTCAAATTCCTTCATTTAATCACATCCACAGAATCCCTTTTGGCAGGAAAGTTAACATATTCACAGGTCCCAGGGATTAAGATGTGGACACCTTTGGAGAACTCTTTCACCTGACCTGTGCCTTCCACTTCACTGATACACTCCAAGCCTGACAGGCTCTGACTCATTTGCTTTTCCTGGGCTGCCCTGGCCTGCGCATCTGTCATCACCCTTTCTGCATTTGTGTGCTATTTTAAAGAGCAGGGGTATGAGCTGGAGTGGCAGGGTGGGTAGTTTGGTGAGAAAGATGGTTACAGCTGTTTAGAACTCGTGGGAAAGTTGTTTACCGAAACTAGAGGGAAAGTTGTTTACCGAAACTAGGAAATTAAACTTTAAAATGGAGAATTAAAGAATAAGAGAGCTGAAGATACAGACACACTGATTCTTTGAAGAGAAACTTGGAGTTCACTATATCTAACACCTAATCTGACTTTTTAGTTTTTGGACTGGGAGGGGCAGCTTAAGTTGGAGGTCCCTATGGCACTCTAGAGAATTTGTCCTTTCTGGATGACAGGCCATCTTTCTTTGCTTGGGCACAGGTAAGGCATTCATCCTTCCCTCTTCCTTACATCCCACATCACAAGAGTCCATCATGGAAGGCCTCAAATGCCAGAGTAAGAGCTCGGATTGAAGTGAGGGATGCTTGGGGAAACAACAGATAGGGTTCTAGTCTACTTTCTAAACTTCTCTGGAACCAGGCTCTTCCTCGCTTCCACACTCTCACAGCCCTAGGTCTTGTCCCCTTCAAGTCTTATCAGAATTGCTCCAATGACCTCGTTTCAGGTCTCCGCTTCTAGTCTTGCCCCTCTCTACATTACAGCCAAATGCAGATCTTTTCTAACATTTTTCTAGAGGGCAAATCGGATCATCTCCCTGCTTAAAGTCTTCACAGGTTCCCTGGCTCTCCTCAATGTAGTCTAAACCTGCTTCTGGCATTTGATGCCCTCCTGTTTGGCTCTGTGACTTCTCTAGCTTCATCTGTTTTTCCAGACACTTTTCCTGTGGGAAGTTCTTCCCCATGCCTCCATCTGAGCCTTTGCTTAAGTGGTGCTTTCTGCCTGGGACGTCTTCCCCTCCTCTTAACTACTTCGCAAATACCTACACCTCTTCCAGGATTCAACTTAAGCATCACCTCCTCTCTCTAGAGCACCTTCTGACTCCCTGTGTCAAATAAGTTCTCAAGTAGACTTGTTCGTGCAAACTCATCGGCATCTATTCCATCTTCTTACCCAGACTGGGCACTACTGGTGGCCTGGGGTTTTTATCATCTATCACTGGTAGGCTGCACTGGGCAGAACCTACTACATACTCCAGTAAATGCTGAAAGAAGGGAGGAAGAACTCTTGGGGCTGTTAAGGAGGCCTGGTGCACTGGAGTTTGATGAATTTGGGTTAAGGTACGAACACTATTTGTACCCAAGTGCTATTTGCTCTTGGACAAGTCCTTAGAATTCTGAGCCTCGTTTCCTCTGCTCTGCCTACCTCCAGAACAACATAAGTGAATTCCCTATACAGTGCCAGCCTTACTGGAGGGGCTCAAATATTTAGGCCCTCTCCACCAAGAAGCAGAGGAGGAAAGGTGTCCAGTAGTGAACAGGTTAGGTATGGAAATGCAACAGGGCTAAGCAGAAACCTCTGAGACCTCAGTGAGCTTGGATGTCTGAAACTGCCAGCCACTTGCTAGCGCACAGGACAGAGCAAGTGGCACCAAGAGTTAGAGAGATGGGGGTGGGGGTGGCAGACCAAGAGCCAGCCAAAGCCACGCCCTCCCCGCTACCTGAATGGACCAGCCCAGAGTGACATCACAATCCCTGGTGGTTGCCACAGCACTGCTGGAGGTGAGCTCTCATTTCTCCCCAGGGAGCTCTAGGCTGTGGATGTGAGAAGGGGTGCTAGGAAGGCAGATGGCGACAAGGAACAGCCTTAGCCCCATGCCCCTGGGCACGGCTCAGGGTGACCCTGGAGAGGCAGGAACGCTGCCAGGCCCTGACGCTGGCCTCCGGGACACAGGTGCGGCCACTCAGCTCAAGATGAAGCCCAGGAAGGTGCGCAAGATCAAGGCGATCATCATCGACCTGGGCTCCCAGTACTGTAAGTGCGGCTACGCGGGAGAGCCGAGGCCCACCTACTTCATCTCCTCCACCGTGGGCAAACGCTGCCCTGAGGCGGCCGACGCCGGTGACACCCGCAAGGAGACCTTGGTGGGCCATGAGCTGCTGAGCACAGAGGCGCCTCTCAAGCTGGTGAACCCTTTGAAGCACGGCGTCGTGGTGGACTGGGACTGCGTGCAGGACATCTGGGAGTACATCTTCCGCACGGCCATGAAGATCGTCCCCGAAGAGCACGCTGTGCTGGTCTCGGACCCTCCGCTCAGCCCCAGCAGCAACCGGGAGAAGTACGCAGAGCTCATGTTCGAGGCCTTCGGCATCCCCGCCATGCACGTGACGTCCCAGTCGCTGCTGTCCATCTACTCGTACGGCAAGACCTCGGGGCTCGTGGTAGAGAGCGGGCACGGCGTCTCGCACGTGGTGCCCATCTCCGAGGGCGACGTCCTGCCGGGCCTGACCAGCCGTGCCGACTACGCTGGGGGTGACCTCACCAACTACCTGATGCAGCTGCTCAACGAGGCGGGCCACGCATTCACGGAAGACCACCTGCACATCATAGAGCACATCAAGAAGAAGTGCTGCTATGCGGCCTTGCTGCCCCAGGAGGAGCTCGCCCTGCTCCCGGAGGAGCTGCGCGTGGACTACGAGCTCCCCGACGGCAAGCTCATCACTATCGGCCAGGAGCGTTTCCGCTGCTCTGAGATGCTGTTCAAGCCTTCCCTGGCGGGCAGCACCCAGCCTGGCCTCCCGGAGCTCACGGCCGCCTGCCTGGGCCGCTGCCAGGACACGGGCTTCAAG